ACCCCAGCCACACACTGTGGAAGCATCCTTTCACCTACTCTACGCCGTACAAACACAGTAACTCCTTCAAACACCGGTCGTCAATAATAATAATAATAATATATTCCAGTGTATATTATATATGTCCATATATTCCAGTGTATACTATATGTCTATATATTCCACTGTATATTATATATGTCCGTATATTCCAGTGTATATTATATATGTCCATATATTCCAGTGTATACTATAATATGTCCATATATTCCAGTGTATATTATATATATCTATATGTTCCAGTGTATCTTATATATGTCTATATATTTCAGTGTATATTAGTCAGAGTCAGAGAAAAGGATCACTTGCGACAAAACAACGACTTGTCCGACCGTCGGAGCGTTCACGTTATTTAATTTATTCATTTTAAACTTTCAAAAAAAAAGAGCAAAGGTTGCATCATCAGCGTAAAAAAGAACGTTTGGTAAACAGTGACGGAGGACGGACGGAGCGGCTCGCCTCTGTTTTCTCAAAATATTTCCGAAAAAAAACAAAAAAACAGGCGGTCGTAAATCAACTTAATTAAATTTACTGTAGGAGTCAACAGGCAGAAGGTCAAAGGTCAGGTGAGTGACATCACAGCTTCGTCATTTTTTTTACTGAAAATATAAGACATTTCTACGTTAATAAATTCCTGCTTAGGTTTTACGATATTCTGTAAATTCTGTTTTTAGTGGTTCTCAAACTAAGGTACGCGGACGACAATCTAATTCCAGTAGGGGTCATTAAGGTGGCTAGCTTTTTTTTAAATTTTTTTTACTGAAAATATAAGCCATTTCTACGTTAATACATTCTTGCTTAGGTTTTACGATATTCTGTAAATTCTGTTTGTAGTGGTTCTCAAACTAAGGTACGCAGACCACACTCTAATTCCGGCAGGGGTCAGCGAGTCAGCTAGCTTGAAAATATAAGCCATTTCTACGTTAATAAAAGTTTCAGTTTCAGTTTCGGAGCCACAGTGACGGAGTTCGGGTCATAATCGGGGTCTTTCTCCCCCCCCTCCCGCCTCCCGACATACATTTCAACCCCGGTCACGTTAGCAGATCCCGGCGTAAATGCTAGCCGGCCTACGGTCGTCTCTCCCCGCTCCAGAAACAAGACATTCCCGGTGTGTGTGTGTGTCTCGGCATGTATAATATTGCGAAAGAGCACATTCATTTCGACAGACAGCGAAAGCGGATGTGGGAGGC